CTTTTCCAGCAACTTGTCTTTGTTGTTGATTTACAGCATCACAGTTCTTTCGGCTTTTATTTACCATTAGTAACCCCTTTGTCTTTTGCTGTGCTCATCATCCGTTCTACTGTCTCTTCCTCCCACAGCATAAAAGCCACCATTTTCCAGCCTCTTTTACTTCTGAACAAGAGTCATATCGGCTCAAAATGTTAACTGTTCCTGTTACCAAGACAGTGCCAGACTGACTGAGTTTCTCCAGCTCTTTCTGTGCTTGTTCCAGATTTCCATCATCTGCAGTATTTTGGTTTTATTTGCTGCTCAGATCTAATCACCTTTGAGAGCGTACAAACATTCGGCCCCTTGAGACTGTTCTGCCATTCAATAGGATCATGGCTGACCTGATTGTAATATCACACCTACGTTCTTCCCTACTCTGAGTAACCTTTCATCCACTAGCTTTATAAGAATCTAACCAGCCCTGCCACAAAAATGCTTGAGGACTCTGCCTCCGCTGCCTTTTCAGAAGGGGGTGGTGGTTGAGCTGCTGCGTTGATTCGCTGCAGTTTGCATGTTCTAGATTATTAATGCTGCTGGGAAGGGAGTTAGGAATAAGTAGCATGTGGATGTTGACTTAAATATTGTTCCAATCCCACATCAGCCAAGCCAAAAGGGCTGCCATTATTGGTTAGGTTTATGGACTGGACAGACTTTATCAATTTGTTATTGGGCTAGAAAAGATTTGATTTGATTTGAATTATTATTGTCACACGTACCAAGGTACAGTGAAAAGTGTTGTTTACGTGTTTTACAGGCAGATCATACCATACAAGTGCATCAGGGTAGCACAACAGAACAGAAGAGTCTGTTCTATTTCCCATTCCTTAAATTGTTGTCACATCTTTCCGAGTAGCTGAGTAGTTAGAAATGATGGGAAGTCCCTAATTCCAGTGAAGTTAGAGTGTCGAGATGATGACCAAAAAGCATTCATGATCTGATTGGTATTTCTCGCTGCTGTGATTACAGCTCCCAGCAATTGTTCCAGACCCTGTGGTCAGCAACTCCTGTTGATCCATTTACATGATTCACAGAAGGCAAACAGGGGAATGATGGTGCCTGTTTACTTAGACAGCAGCGTGACTTTTTTTTACCCTATTGCTGTACCTCACAGGAGCTCCACTAAACCCAAATCCTCCAATTCAGGACCTTTTCTTTCTAAGTATTCACAGTGTCAGCAGAAAGCCCCGACATTTATCCCAATAACACTTCTCCCCTCCTACAATGTGTGAGTACAGTGGCTTTGATTATAGCTGGTTTTAATGTCCTGGCTGGCATTTTGCTTGCGATCATTTCTCGTTTTCTGAAAGAAAAATATGCAGTGTGTTTGAACTCTTGTGAGGAATGTTCATTCTGATCCAAGGGTTTTACTAATTTATCCAAGGGTTTTTTTAAAGAAAGGAAAAGAATGCATTTGTATTGCATCTTTCATAAATTCGACATTATAGTGTTTCACAGGAAGGTAGGAATAAAAGCCAGTCTTCAGCCTCTGCCCTGTCCCACGCTTGTTCCACCATTCAAAGAAACCAGTCTGATCTGTGAGACAACTGCAAATAATTTTACCCTATAACCTTTATGACCAGCAGCTATCAAAAATCTACCAGTCTCCCATTCCAAAATCAGCAACTGATCTATGTCAATTACTGCTTGCCATGTTAGTTTCTGAAACTAGAGTTCTGCGTTATTGAATTCTGAGTCCTATCCCTCGTATTCTCTAGACACAAAGGCCAGCATCCCATTTACCTTTTTGATTATTTTCTGCCTGTTCATGTCATTTTAATGAACAAGCCTCCACTGTTTCTAGTGTTTCACCATTTTGTAAGTGCTGTTGTAAGATTGGGATTTAACTCCATTTAGTCTCCCAGAGTGATCCAGGGAAATTTCTGTAAGAGCTCTCCTCTCTATTTACGGCTTGTTGTATGCACGCATTCCCTCAGCACCAGGTTAGAACGTCTGCTTCCATCCACTTCTCTCTACTTAATCATGCAACATTGTCGTCATCACTATACACATGTAATTCTGATGTACTCCACAAGTGCTATTTTCAGTTTTAATGTTTTTCAGTTTTAATTAGTGAATTGCATCACGGTTGTCCAAACTGAAATCCAGTTACCACTGTTTTGCCCATAGATTTGTCACTTAACCACTCAATATCTCTTTGTAATTTTTACACTGTCCTCTACAGTGCCTATAATCGTGCCTTTTTCTACGTCATTAGCAAATTTGAACATGTGGCTTTCCATCCTATCACATTAAGAGCTTAGATGATATGATGTGCATATTCCTTCAAGAGATGTATCTTAAATTAATATCATTAATACCAAATAATTTTTTTTGTATCTCAATTGGAAGAGAATTAAGTCATGTGCAAGACTTGTCTTCCTTCCCTTGATAAAAGTATATTTCATATTAATTACCACCTCAACAGGATATATTAGACCTGTGACTTGAAGGCAGTCTATAAGCAGCTCCAGTAGAAGTCAGATGTATTGTATTTCATAGATTTGAAGAAGGATCATAGAATCCCTACAGTGTAGAAGCAGGCCATTTGGCCCATTGAGTCCACACCGACCCTCCGAAGAACATCTCATCCAGACTCACCCTTCTACCCTACCCCTGTAACCCTGCATTTCCCATGGCTAATCCACCTTGCCTGCACATCCCTGGATACTATGGGCAATATAGCATGGCCAATCCACCCTAATCTGCACATCTTCGGACTGTGGGAGGAAACCAGAGCACCCAGAGGAAACCTATGCAGACACAGGGAGAATGTGCAAACTCCATGCAGACAGTCACCCTGAGGCTGGAATCAAACCTGGGTCCCTGGTACTGTTAGGCAGCAGTGCTAACCACTGAGCCACTGTGATGCCCCCCGTTTCACTCTCAGTAAGTGAACAAAATCAGTATACAGTCTTATCTTCACATAAAGAGCTGGTGTATTGTTTCAGCAATCCTTATGCGTGATTAGTATGCTTCCCTTGAAGTAAAGAGTATCACAGATAATAAATAGTTGAGACACCAACACAAATTCTTATGGGTGACGACATCAGATCCTGCCAATAAGGGTGTCACTTTGCCTGCCATGTCTGTCTCCAGTCGGCTAATTACCTAACCAGGTTAATAATTTAGCTTCAATTCCATTAGCTTTACAGCCACTAAAGAGTTTTTGAAGTGCAGGCCCTATTGTAGTGCGGGAAACAGGGCAGCCAGTCTGTACACAGCGCGCTCATACTGTCAGCAATGACGCAAGTGCTGGAAAATCCAGTTTCATTTCGGGATGTTGTTTGAGGAATCGTTCAGGCCATTAGGGAGAACTCCCATAACCACTTCCAAAATAGTGATGTGAGATCTTTTCTGCCAGCCATGGGTTAATGTTGCATCAGAAATACGGCACCCCTGACAATGCAGCGCTCTGTTAGTACTGCACTGGGAGTGTTAACCTGGGCTCCAGCCCCTTCTGACAAGGAGGCGAGAGCTTTCGACACTGAGCTACAAGTGACACATTTAATAAATGCAAATAAAACAATTTGTTAATCATTACAAAATAAAAACCTAAAGAATGGTGGATGCTATAAGACAGAAGCAAAACAGAAAGTGCTGGAAAAGCTCAGCAGTTCTGGTAGCATCTGTGGAGAGAAAGCAGAGTTAACCGCTGCCAAACTGCTGAGCTTTTCAAGCAATTTCTGACGTTTATGAGCTTGTTGCATCTAAAAGTCTGCACATTTAAAAATTGTACATGAAGAATGTGAGATGAATCACAAGTAGGAAATATCAGCATTTTGTGGTAAAATACATAATTCTACATTATATAACTTCTTTTCACAACCCACTGTGCTGTGTGCTAGAATAAAGACGTATTGTATCTCAATCGAAAGAGAAGTGAGTCACGTGCAAGACTTGTCTTCTTCTTCCTGATAAAATTGTATATGATATAACAGCCCAGCATGACTTGTCAATCTCAACAGCCCCCTGTGTGCTCTTTATTATTTTCTCTATTACAATTCCGACAGTGGTGCTGCATCAGCAGATTTGCAGCGCTTTTAAGGCCACTGCTTGCTTTAGAGATGAGGGCTGTCCCTCACAGTTCTGACTTTACTGACTATCCCAGCTGAAACTGAACTGCCTGTGCAGCTTGTCTCGATGTTCGGCGATTATGGATAAACAAAATTGATGAAAAGCCTAGACAATTGGAGAGTACAATTTTTGTTTTCATTTGTCTGAATACACATCAACTCTCATCATGTGATGAATGTCAACCAATAACCTACGCGTTTAATCATTTTGTTGTAGCCATTAACTTAGTCTCCGTCTCATATATCATCATTCACCAAGCTACGTAGGATTTGCTGAAGTCAGAGCTAGCATAATTTCACAATTGCAGTACAAGACCGGTGCTTGGCGGAGGGTATAATGAGACACGTAAAACTCCTTTCTGGGAAGCTTAAAGGTATCACTGCCTTGCAAAGTGCTTCTCTGTAGCCACTTTGCCAAACCAATTAATGTCTAATAATCTGCCTTCACCTTCCCACAAAAGTGAATGATTGCCATAATCTGATGTTGTTTAAATTGTTTACCAGATGAGATTGAGTGCAAATTCATAGAATATCAACTGTGTGCATGTTTCTGTGAAACATCGCAAAAGGATGTTTGCAGATGATCAGTGTTTAATCATGTAGCAGAGTTTTGGAGAATTTGAACCTCAAGTTGAAAACAATTGTGCTTGGGTTTAGTGCAATGTGGTTTTTACTCTTTTTGGTGTCTGTTTGCAAAATTAAAGCCTGTTCTTGTTCTCCCCCAGAAGGACTGGAAATGTCTAATCTGGAATTTTGTAACTTCAGTCTCTGATAGAGACTGGAGTTGATGTTCTACAACCTTTAAAAATAAGCATTGTCAGAGCCGCGGTCTATTTTGAAAGGAAACTGATGAGGCTGCTAACCAGCTCTGTGACTGTTTACTTGCAGAAATACGAGCTCAGTTAGTCGAGCAACTGAAATGCTTGGAGCAGCAGACAGAGATGAGGGTTCAACTCCTCCAGGACCTCCAGGATTTCTTCCGCAAGAAGTCTGAAATTGAAATGGAGTATTCCCGAAACTTGGAGAAACTGGCTGAGAGATTCATGGCAAAAACCCGGAGTACAAAGGACCATCAGCAGTACAAGTAAGAGCTTTTTTCCTCCTGTGAAGACTGGGATTCGAAATGCCTTGATTTTCTTTCTTCTTCAGATCTGCGTTTCAGCATTTTGTATGCTGGGAAGCAAACAGTGAAATGTTAATTCTGTCCATTCAGTCTGTGTTTTAACTGTTTCCTGACAGTTTATTACTCAGTAGCTTCATGCATTGTTTCAAGGCAGGGACAGTTTTCCATTTGACAAGACAGTGTTGGATGATGACAAATGCATTAAATCTGTTGGGAATCTGGTGAATTATGTGTTAACTTCTGAATTCTTCAGGAACGTGGTGGCACGCTTTGAAGATTTGGATGTTTTATATTTTTGCCAAACTGTGCAATTGAATCTGAGTCAGGAGATAGTTACAGGTTGAAGTCACAAAACTTCACCCTCACGCCCTGCAAAGCACTGAGAGGGTGCTGTTCTATCAGACATTAAACAGAGACCCTGTCTGTCCCTCTGGTGAATGTGAAAAGTCCTGTGTATAAATCATTGAATCCCTACAGTGTGGAAGCAGGCAATTTGACCCGTCAAATCCACACTGACCCTCCAAAGAGCATCCCACCCAGTCCCTGTCACTCTGCATTTCCCGTGGCTAGTCCACCTAACCTGCACTTCTTTGGACTGTGGGAGGAAACTGGTGCGTCTGGAAGAATCCCACGCAGGCACAGGGAGAACGTGCAAACTCTACACAGGCTGATGCCCAGGCTGAAATTGAACCCGGGTTTCTGGCGCTGTGGGGGCATCAGTGCTAACCACTGAGCCACCATGCCTCCTGTATGAACATACAAATTAAGTGCAGGAGTAGGTTATCCTGCCCCTCAGGCCTGCTCCGCCATGCAATAAAATTGTAGCTGATGTGACTGTAACCTCAAATTAACGTTCCTGCCTTTCCCTGATAACCTTTCAGCCTCTTGCTGAACAAGAATCTATCCACTAAAAGCAAATCCTATTGATGCTGGAAATCTAAATCTAACACAAGGAGTGCTGGAGAAGCTCAGCAGATCTGGCAGCTTCTGAAAGAGAAAGCAGAGTTAACGTTTCCAGTCCACTGCCCCTTAGTCATATTAAACTCAAAACATGAACTCTGCTTTCTCTCTGCAGGATGCTGCCAGACCTGCTGAGTTTCTCCAGCACTCCCTGTTTTTTGCTGTCAAGAAAGAACAAGGGTGCCATACTAGTTAGACCTCTCTTTCAAAGCAACACACAACTCAGCGGACAGAATAAGTTTTATAATTCTATGTCAGAAAGAAAAGCAAAGCACTTGGATTTAGATAATGGCTTCCATTACCTCAGGACATGCAGTTTGCAGTTAACGATGACCTCTTGAAACTCAATCCCCCTTGTAATGTAGGAAACACATTAGTAATGTGATAATGACCAGATAATGTGGGCTTTTTAACTGGATGCTGATTGAAGCTTAAGTATCGGCTGGAGACAGTTCCCCTGCTCTTCCTGGCCATGATGTGGAAGTGCCGCTGTTGGACTGGGGTGGACAAGATCGAAAATCACACGACACCAGGTTATAGTCCAACAGGTTTATTTCAAGGCTCAAGCTTTCAGATTTGTGCTTCTTCTTCAGGTCCCCACATTTGAGCTATGCCTAGAAAGGTCAAAAATCACACAGCATCCGGGTATAGTCCAACAGGTTTATGTGAAGACACAAGCTTCAGACACCTGAAGAAAGACAAGACTCCGAAAACTTGTATCTTCACGTAAACCTGTTGGACTATGACCTGGTGTTGTGTGATTTTTAACCTCCCTAGGCATAGCTCAAATGTGTTAGAGGCACTTTAGAGAAAGTTATCTCAACTATTACCTGAAATGATCATTGGAGTGGGGTTTAAGAAAGAAATGGGATGAATTTCTTTTACTTGAGGGTTGGAGAGTCTTTGGAACTCTTTTCCTGATAAGCCGGCGGAAGGAGAGGACAGTACTTGAATGTTTTTCTGGCAGAGATGAAAAGATTCTCAGCAGATTTGACAGCATCTGTGGAGAGAGAAACAGAGTTAACATTTCAAATCTGTAATGATTCTTCATACTTTAGTTAGTCATACAGCATGGAAACAGACCCTTTGGTCTGACTTATCCATGCCAACTAGATATCCTAAATTAATCTATTCCCATTTGCCAGCATTTGGCCCATATCCCTCTAACCCTTCCTATTCATACACCCATCAGAATGCCTTTTAAATGTTGTAATTGTACCAGCCTCCACCACTTCCTCTGGCAGCTCATTCCACACACAAACACACACACACCACTCTCTGTGTGAAAAAATTGCCCCTTGGGTCTCTTTTAAATCTTCTCCCTTTCACCTTAAACCTATGCCCCTCTAGTTTTGGACTCCGCTACCCTGGAGAAAAGACTGTAGCTATTCACCCTTTCCATGCCTCTCATGATTTTATAAACCTCTATAAGGTCACCCCTCAGCCTCCAATGCTCCAGGGAAAATAGCCCCAGACTATTCAGCCTCTCCCTATAGCTCAAACCCTCCAACCCTGGTAACATCCTTGTAAACCTTTTCTGCACTCTTTCAAGTTCAACAACATCTTTCCTATGACAGGGAGACCAGAATTGAACTCAGTGTTCCAAAAGTGGCCTAACCAATGTCCTGTACAGCCACAACATGACCTCCCAGCTGAGTCAGAGTCAGAATCATACAGCATAGGAACAGACCCTTGTAGGGTCACTGGATTTGAAATGTTAATCTCTCCACAGATGGTCAGACTATTGCTTGAGGGTATCACTGAGGTAAATCCCACGAGGCAACTGGTGGAGTTTGGAAATCAGTTAAGAAAAAAAGTGGGATTGAGAGGAAGTCTCAGTAATGGTGACCATGTAATGTTGCTGTAAAAACCAATCTGGTTTTGAACTACATGTGACTCCAGAACTGCAACAACATAGTTGGCTCTCAACTGACTGGCCGGACCAGCAATGTCCACATCCCATTAAAGAATTGCTCAAAATCAATGTTTGTCTGTCTCAAGCATATATCCCATTTCGTTGTGGAAGTTGCCTACAAAACAAAACTGCTTCCACTGCCTTTCAAATCATCAAGATCTTACTCCATCAAAAAAATCTCTTCCTCTCATTATTTTTGACAACAGTCTGAAATCTAAGTCACCTGGTTCCTGACCCACCAGCTAATTTTCATAGAATCCCTGCAGTGTGGAAAGAGGCCATTCAGCCCATCGAGTTTACACGGAACTCAGAACATCCCACCCAGACACAGCCTCCTACCCTAGCCCTGTAACCGTGCATTTCCCATGGAAAATCTACCTAGCCTGTAGATCCCTGGACACTATGGGCAATTTGGCGTGGCCAATTCACCTGACCTGCACATCTTTGGACTGTGGGAGGAAACAGGAACACCCGCGGAAAGCCACACGTGGAGAACATGCAAACTCCACACACAACCGTCCAAAGCTGGAATCAAACCCAGGTTCCCCATGCTGCGAGGCAGCAGTGCTAACCACTGAGACACCGTGCCACCCATTTGTCATTTTAGTTTTGTCATTCCTTCCAACAAACCCTTTTGCAATATTGAGTATCACTATTAAATTGAAACCCCTCCCCCACCACCCATTGACCCACCCTGAACCTTCTCTGCTATAAGGAGGAAAATCCTACCTTCCCCAAATCTTGGCCTAACTGAGAGCCCTTCATCCCTACCCTGGCACCATCTGTAATAGCCTGCTTTGTTGGGTAGGGGTAGGGGCTTTTAGCTTTGGGAGCATTGCGAACAAGATGTTTTGTAAGCTGGTTTACAATTGAAGCTGATCAGTTTAAGCTTAGCAAAATGGACTTGGGGGAATTGTATAATAAACTGACTTAAGAGAGTACCAGAGCAGCAGTGTTGGGTCGCAGCCATCACTGCTTTGAGGGAAGCTTAGATCCAACAAATCCAATTTAGTCTTTATTTTGATGAAGGCGCCCATCTTGAGTGTTGAAAGAGTTTTGGCTGCTTTGCATTTTTTTATTAGAAAGAAATTTTCATTTGTCTTACATATACCATAAACCATCAGGCTTGGATCAGGAGTAGGCCATTCAGCCCCTCGAGTCTGGTCTGCAAATTCGGTGATAGCATGGCTGATCTGTGGCCTAACTCCATAAACTTGCCTTTTACCCGTGACTCGACTACCTTTGCGTAATAAAAAATTATCTGTCTCAGATTTAAAATGACCAACTGATCCAGCTTCCACTGGAGTTTGTGGTAAAGAGTTCCAAACATCCACCACACTTTGTGTGTAGAAGTGTTGAATTGAACTGAGTGTGTTGGCTATGCCATAGCACAGGGTCATTTTTGCAGCCAGTGACACTTGTCATTTTTAAAAATGTCTTGGAGATTTGGAGTCTGTTCACAGGCCCCTGGGTGGCTGTGAAATTGGGCAGTCAGGGGGGAGAGGAAAGAATTTCAAAACAAAGAAGGAGGTGGGAAGCGAATCAGTTTTAGAGACTGTTTCACAGGATGCTGACCAGGACTTGCCGTCACTGTAAAGCAGGAAAGGTGGCACCCATTTCTAAGTTCCAAACTCCCATGGGCAGCTCATAAAAGCGAAACCCTGCAGATACTGGAAAACTGATGTGATTTTCATAGAATCCACAGTGTGGAAACAGGCCATTTGGCTCATCAAGTCCACACTGACCATCTCACCCAGACCCTGTCCTATCCCTGTAACCCTGTGTATTCCCATGGCTAATCCGTCTACCCTGCACATCCCTGGACACTAAGGGCAATATAGCTTGGCTAATCCACCCTAAACTGCACAACTTTGGATTGTGGGAGGAAAGCAGAGCACAGAAAATGGTGGAGAACCTCAGCAGATCCGCAGAAATGAAAGCAGAGATAACGTTTCAAGTCTAGTGTGACTCCTGTTGCAATAACCAGCTGTTTTTGTTTTGTGATGTCAGTAGAGGGACGTTTTATTTTCCGGTACACCAGGGAGAACTCTTCCAATTATTTTCATCAGGGAATCTTTTACAATGG